CAGCCCAAATTCTTTTGACACTGTCTTATCCCATTCGATCATCTGGCCCACATTTTGCCCGGTGAAACTCTCCTCTGGCAAGGTATAAGTACAACAAGGAATAACTGCTTTGTCTACTAGAGCCAGGTGGGAAGACACAGATGTACTGCTGTACAAACAGTCTCCCATCCTTAAGCCAGGCTGCCCGTGCTTTTGGACTCACAGCGTCTTTGTCTTCTTGCTGTCTTTTAGAAGAGGGCCTGGAAAAGAGTATCTATGCCTTTTTGAATGGTTAACTTGAATGGCAACATATAGGAAAGGCATAAGGTCTCTGAGGTTGGTATAGCACCGAATCTAGAGCTCTTTTAAACAAGCAGTCTGTCCACTCAGGTGGGCCTTGGAGCTGGAGGCTTAGACACCAGGACAGCTGTATTTGATCCAGACTGTAAAGAAGTATGAACTTCATCTTGTTGCTTCCCTACCACAATTCTGAATCAGAATGATCATGACTTTGCTAACAGAAGAGAAAATATTGCCTTAGTTTTTTTCCCCTGTAATATTCTCTGTACAGGGGGAAAAAACTAAGAGAATATTTTCCCAGAATGTCCACTGTGGTTATCTCTGGGAGAAAGGATTATAGGTTTCTTTAGTTCTTCCTTTTAAAATATATTTTTTTATTTTCAACAACAGAAATGAATCGTGAAACAAAAAAAGCATTGAATGTTTTATTTTTCAAAACTTCCACTATGCCTCAGGAAGATCAGAATCTTTGACATGATGGATAAAGGTGTTCACAATTTGGCCCCAACCCAGTCCTCAAGCTCTAGTGTTCTTCAGATCCAGTGAATTTTGCTCACCATTGCCCAGCATGCCATGACCTCTCATAACGCTGTGGTACTTACTGTCTGCAGCACCATCCACCACCCTTCTCTCTACCCTACCCAGCTTCAGGATTCCTTCTGAGAATTCTTTGTGTCCACACACCTCCCCCCTATCCTAGGGTAGATTAATTTCTCCCTTCTTTCTGTTCCTATAGCACTGCATACAGATATCTACTCTAGCAGTTATTGACTTATACAATAGCGATTGTTAAATGACTGGCTCTTTTATAAGCCGTCAACTTCTTGAGGACAGGGAATTGACTGAATTTAAATCACCTAAAGATACTACTGTGCGGTAGACTTGGCCTGGATTCTTGTTGAATGGAGCAGGTGTTCATGGTAGATATCCACCAGCAGATTTTAATGGTATTTATTTATAATGGCATTTAATGCCTTGCCTGGAATACTGTCAGAAGAAAGTAAGTATAACTTACCCCTGAGGTAACTCACCTCAGGATGTTTTCTGTGGACCTGTACACCTTCTTGCTAGCCCAGATGGCTGCTCACATGGTTGAACATTTGGTTGTGTTGCTGGTTTTTATCAGAGGCTGTACCTAGTATTCTCTCCCATCTGTACAGCACACTTTGTGAGTCAGCAACCCCTTTCTTCACATTTCATGGGATATCCTCACTAAGGTCTTACATGCCATCTGAAGTTTCCCTGATGCCACATATCTTACAGAAAATCACCTAGGTTTTGTTTGGTTTACTTGAAGACATGTATCTTTGACCATGCCCTAGTTTACGCAGACTGTTCTCCTAAGAAAAAAGTTAAATTTAATTTTGGGTTCTAAGTGTTGTACCCAAGCAAGTTAAGGAATGTGCCATACTTTGAGATTGAATTATGAGTCCTTTATTATGCCTGTGACCGAGAGGCAGCTAATGCCCAGAATTTTCTTGGCATCTAAGAAAATGTTAGGTGGTTTTTTTTTTTTTTTTTTTAACCCAGGCTGGAGTGCAATGGCGTGATCTCGGCTCACCGCAACCTCCGTCTCCTGGGTTCAAGCAATTCTCCTGCCTCAGCCTCCTGAGTAGCTGGGACTGCAGGTGTGCGCCACCATGACCAGCTAATTTTTGTATTTTTAGTAGAGACGGGGTTTCACCGTGTTGACCAGGATGGTCTCAATCTCTTGACCTCGTGATCTACCCCTCTCGGCCTCCCAGAGTGCTGGGATTACAGGCGTGAGCCACCGCGCCTGGCTAGGTGGTCTTTTATACCCTAGTTTTAAAAGAGAGGGGGAACCTAGCTGAAGCAAATTTTTTACAGAAGCAGAGTAAGCAAAAAGTTAAAAGATAACCTACTATATGAGAAATAAAACAGTGCCAGGTGAAAGGGCTAAGGCTGTTGTAAAAGACATACAGCTTATAGATAATGGGGGCTCTGGGCACTTGACAGTACCTGCGTTCCCAGGCTCTGCTGGGAATCCACTTAACTCTGCATGGAAGCCGCTTAACTCAGCCTTTTATTAGCAAATGCATTCCTGGATGTGCCCAGTGTTAGCCTGCCCCAGCTACATACTACAGTTACATACTTAATGGTGGGAAAATAACTAAAGTGAAGAAGCTAAGATGGAGTCTGTCTGGCTAAAGAAGCTAACATGAAGCCTGAACAGCTCTTAGTTTATGCAGGCTGTTCTCCTAAGAAAAAAGTTAAATTTAATCTTGGGTTCTAGGAGTCTTATCCATACTTGAATGTATTAGTTATCACTTACTGCTTCTGCTTTAGCTTTAGCACACTGGATGCTGGCATTCCAATGTATTCCTAAACTTCAGAGAGCCAGGGGAATCTGTTGTTGTATTTCACATGTGCAGTCTTTTATATAAAATTACTGCAATATATATTGAGTATATTCTTTTATATAATAATTGCATTTTGTGCAGATTTGAATACATAAAATTGAAATAGTAGGATATACTAAAAGTATTAATAAAGCTTCACTCCAGTTGTTTTGTTTTGTTTTTTTGAGACGGAGTTTTGCTCTTGTTACCTAGGCTGGAGTGCAATGGTGCGATCTCGGCTCACCGCAACCTCCGCCTCCTGGGTTCAGGCAATTCTCCTGCCTCAGCCTCCTGAGTAGCTGGGATTACAGGCACGCGCCACCACGCCCAGCTAATTTTTGTATTTTTAGTAGAGACGGGGTTTCACCATGTTGACCAGGATGGTCTCGATTTGTTGACCTCGTGATCCACCCGCCTCGGCCTCCCAAAGTGCTGGGATTACAGGCTTGAGCCACCGTGCCCGGCCTCACTCCAGTTTTTAAAACAAAGTTGACTAGAATAACATAATTTCAAAGCTGGAAGGCTTGAGTTGATTGTAAACTGTGTTGAATCTGCAGTCACGTGACAGTGCCATTTTGGCCAGTAAAACGCAGATAAATACCTGACTTCCTTTGGCAGTGTCCTGTGTACCACATTGCTTTTCACTGCATAGGAACTTGTACTTGTGGTTTTAGTGTCTATTTACCTGCTCTTGTTAGAATTGAAAATATTTTTGTAGCCTTATAATGTCACCTAAGCATCCATAAAATGGTGGTAGTACTTGTGCTAGCATGAAGAAGGTCAAATAGCCCCCATGGTACACTGTGCTGTTAATATAGGAATGAGTGCCCTGTAGCTACTGGAGATGATGCTTAGGAAATAAAGTGGAACATTGAAATAAAAATGCACCATGGTGATGCAGATCTGTGCCTCCTGAGAATGCATTTATTCCTGTGGAGAAATCCATTTTGAATTTTGCATATATTGAATTATTCAAAGTTTATGCATCCATCTGGCTCTTGGGATTTTTTTCATAATTAAAATTATTATATGCCAGTTTCAAAATCTCCTTTTAAAATACATTGGGACAAACAAAAAATAAAAATAAAAAAAAAATTGGGATAAAAATTATATGTTATCTTTAAAGTATAAAACATGAATGACTTTTATTAATATAGTTCTCACCGATTGCTTTAGCTTAATAACTTCAAGACTTTTTTTCATAAATATTTTTGAAGGTTTCTAGCTTTTAATACTGTATATCCAGGGTCACAGGGCCATTTAGGACAAACATTTGGCATCCCAGAATAGAATGTTAAAATTGGAAAGAACCTTAGAGATAATTTTACAAAGGAAGAAACAGATGGTTAGAGAGGGCAGCTGAGGGATTGGCTCAGGGTCACACAACATTTCAAAGTATTTCTAATTCTATTGTCTTAATTTTTCAATAACCTTTCCTCCTCCTCTGTGTCTTTACATGTATTGACCCTTTTCCACCATAATAAACTGAAGTTCAGATATATTGACTGACCCAGGGTAAGAGTAGAAGTATCTGTGTTTCTTTAAAAAAAAAAAAAAGAAAAAAAAATCCATGTGGGCTTTTTTCCTGCTTTAAATTTTTGGGGTTGAAAAATCTCATTAGGTTTTTTTTGTTTTTGTTTTTTTTGAGACGGAGTTTCGCTCTTGTTACCCAGGCTGGAGTGCAATGGCGCGATCTCGGCTCACCGCAACCTCCGCCTCCTGGGTTCAGGCAATTCTCCTGTCTCAGCTTCCTGAGTAGCTGGGATTACAGGCACGTGCCACCATGCCCAGCTAATTTTTTGTATTTTTATTAGAGACGGGGTTTCACCATGTTGACAGGGATGGTCTCGATCTCTTGACCTCGTGATCCACCCGCCTCAGCCTCCCAAAGTGCTGGGATTACAGGCTTGAGCCACCGCGCCCGGCCCTCGTTATTAGTTTTTTTCCGTCATTTCCAAATACCAGTAGTATCATGCTACTATGTACATTATACAAATATGGCCAAGCACGGTGGCACACACTTGTAATCCCAATGCTTTGGGGGGGCAAGATGGAAGGATTGCCTAAGCCCAGGAGTTCCAGAACAGCCTAGGCAACATAGCGAGACTTCATCTCTACAAAAAATTAAAAATCAATTAGCTGGGCATGGTCACCCACACCTGTAGTCCTAGCTACTCGAGGAGCTAAGGAGGATCACTTGAGCACAGGAGTTCAAGGCTGCAATTATTACCACATCACTGCACTCTAGCCTAGGTGACAGAGCAAGACCTTGTCTCTTAAAAAACAAAAAAATTACATTATACAAATAGCACATCAGATTCTGATGAAAGTGTTCCTCATGGAGTTTTTCTTCTTTTCAAGATAACGCATATGGTAAAACATTGCGGCAACACCATGGCTGGGTAGTTCGAGGGGTTTTTGCGGTAAGTGATCCTCTGTCTCCTAACATTAACTGTATTGGGTGTGCCAGTGGCTAGGGCTAGAAATCTCTTCTTATCTAGTCATTATTGTCAGAAACAAGGGGTTGTGTGTGTGTGTGTGTGTGTGTTTCTGTTTGCTTTGTTTTTGAGAATAAGAAAAAAATGTTATTTATTTCATTTACATTTATAGGCCTTTGGTGTGTGAAAATGTCAGCAATAAAAAGTGTCTAAAATAGCAAAGACTATAAAAGAAATATGAATAAGAGATTTGATTCTTTACCCTAGCAAATTCTAATTACCCCAGCCAATTCTAATGACCTTGGGAAGATTTGCCTCCTAAGTGGTTGCTTTTCTGATAAGGTAGTAAAAAGCTTAAGTATCCTAGCAGAAGTAGGTAGGAAGCAGCTATCCTAAATACCTATCACTGAAGGAAAATAATCATTCAGGTGATGAAGTCAACCTTATAGCTCCCTCTGCTGCCCATTGTATTCAATACTTTTAATTCTTAGGTCTTAGTTGATTTTTTTTCCCCCTAATTGAATTTTGTCTTTGAATTTTAACTGTATTGGGCGTGCCAGTGGCTAAGGCTAGAAATCTCTTCTTAGCCAGTTATTTTCATTGTGAAGGTGTTTATATTCATGTGTTTTGGCTGCGATTACCCACCACCCGCTTCTTCCCAGCATGGTTAACTGGAAGAACACAAACCTGAGACTCTTAGTCTCCTGGGGAAATTACTTAGCCTGCTTTATAAAACAGCAGTAGTAGTTGGCTCCTTTATGTCAGCATTAACACTCTTTGATTCTTCCCATCCAGAGAAAGGTCAGTCTTAGTCAAATCTAGTCATGAAAAGTTAATCATGCAGCTGTATACCAGAAAACCTTATAGAATGCACTCACATTCTTTGGAAGGTTGGGGAATAAAGTAGCCTTGCAGATGATATTTTTTACTGATGTAAAGGATACATAGTTTGCCTAAAGAAAGAACTGTTTAGGTCATGCTTTATTAGGATGCAGGTAAAGTGGGAAGAATGTAGAGTGCAAGAAATCAAATATTAGTGAAAATGAAATATTTTTTGAAAGCATGGAGATTAAAGCTCCATGTCCCATTCACTGTTCACTGGGATAGGTGCTTGACCAAATGGAGCTACAAACTGTTTACCTTTACTTTCAATATACCTTTTATAATCATAATAGCTACCATGTAGCTATTGGACACCTGTTGTGTACCAGGCACTCTAGCAGTAGAAAAAAATGTACTTTTAGCTTGTGGTATAATTTTATATCCCCCCAACTGAATATATTCTATCGTGATCATTTTTAAATGCCATAAAAGAGTCTTTGGAAAAAAACACTATTTTTAGTGACTGTATAATATTTTCCTAGTATGGAGATGTCATAATTTATTTGCTTAGTCCTCTGTATGAGAGAGTTAAGCTGCTCTAAGTTTAGAATAAAACAGGTTAGAAATAAAACAGCATCTGTTTATATGCATTTTTGACTAAAACTCTTAGGTTCCTAGAAGTAGATCTGCGTGTTGAATACCAAGAACTACAACCACAGTTTACAATTTTGAGCACTTAACATGTACAAGATGTTCTTTTAAGTGCTTGACATATATAAATTTCTCAGTCTCATAACCCTGAGATAAATTCCATTATTTTTCCTGTTTATAGACAGAGAAACATGAGACACAAAGCAATGAAGTAATATACCCAAGGTTGTAGGGTAAAAACATCTTGAAGACTTTAAATATTATTGCCAATAATTTTTAAAGGTGCTGGTTTTTAAGAAAATAAATTATGTGATGCATTTGAGAACAGCCTTATCAATAGAAGAATTAAGTCTATAGCCATATCGGCCCTTTCACTCTCTCTTCTATTACTCTCCAAGTCATCCCTACTTCGGAAGGGTTATGAGTTTTCTAACATGCTAACTTGCAGAGCCAAATTCATGTTAACTAATTTCAGTTGCTGAGGGAGACATTGTTTACCTCCAAGGAATCTGACTCATTTATCAGCCAAATAGTGACCTTTTGATCTTCCAGCAGTTATACTCACTATACTGAGCTGATACCCATTTCAAGCAACATGGCTGCCTCCATCTTGGTCACTAAATAGCCTTCATTTCATCTTTTTGGTTTCTCTTCAGTCAGACTAGACAGTTGAACTCAATATTGATCCTCCCTCTTTTTTTTTTTTTTTTTTTTTGAGACGGAGTTTCGCTCTTGTTGCCCAGGCTGGAGTGCAATGGCGCGATCTCGGCTCACCGCAACCTCCGCCTCCTGGGTTCAGGCAATTTTCCTGCCTCAGCCTCCTGAGTAGCTGGGATTACAGGCACGCGCCACCATGCCCAGCTAATTTTTTGTATTTTTATTAGAGACGGAGTTTCACCGTGTTGACCAGGATGGTCTCGATCTCCTGACCTCGTGATCCACCCGCCTCAGTCTCCCAAAATGCTGGGATTACTGGCTTGAGCCACCGCGCCCGGCGATTCTCCCTCTTTTTTATCTAGAGTGCTGATGGCTGAGTATAGAATTCTAGGTAAATAAATTCCCTCCAAATTTTGAAGGCATTCCTCTATTGTCCTCCAGCTTCCACTGTTACTATTGTAAAATCTGGTATCAGAGGAATGATGAATAAATAGAATAAAACAGGTATCTGCTTATATGCATTTTTAACTAAAACTCTTATTTCCTCAAAATAGGTTCCTAGAAGTAGAACTGCTGTGTCGAATACCAAGAGCTACAACCACAGCTTAGTTTTGAGCACTTGACATGAACTAGATGTTATTTTAAGTGCTTGACGTATAGATTACATAGGATCTGTTCCTTGTCACCTTCGAGATGTTTTAGAATGTTTACTTTATCCCACATTCTGAAATTTCATGATGTGCCCTTTAGGTCTTTATCATTCATTATGCTGAGCACTTGGTTAGGTATTTAAATCTGAAGACTCCTATCCTCCAGTTCTGGGAGATTTTCTTGAATTATGTTTTTGGATAACTGCCTTCTCTTCATTTTCAGTTTTCCCATTCCTTTGTACTTTTACCATTATCTAAGTATTTATCATGTGCCAGGCAGTGGGCTAAACACTTCCTACATATCCCATTAATTCTTAAAATAAGGAAAATTGTATTAGTCTTCTTCTATAAATAAGGAAACTGAGATTCTAGGAAGTTAAGCACTTTGCATAAATTCCTCAAACTCTAGTATGTGAAAGAGACTCAAGTCCAGGTCTGCTTTATCTAAGTCTGTGCTTTAGCCACTGTATGATAATGAGAGTTACTCTCTTACTGCAAAAATGGGGAGGGTTTATTCTCAAAGACTTCTAAAATATAAGGCAGATCCGAAAAGCACCTGTGGAGTGATAATTCAAGATTCTCCAAAAAGCCTCTGCTGAGATCTAGTGAATGCCAGAAAACAGATTTTAGCAAGCTTAGGAAATATTGGCCCGCAAAGGAAGAGAAGGATAAGGAGCCTAGGAAATCTGTTGGGGAAGTGGCATAGTATGGTGGTGTGGTTGAAACACACAGAGATGATCCAAGTTCAGATCCTAGCCCTGGCACTCAGTAGCTATGTGACGTTTATATATAAAATAGAGGTAAAAACTATACAGGGGTCTTATAAAGATTAACTAGAATAAACTATGTTAAAGCATCTGCGCACAAGCAGACAACAAATGTTAGCTGCCTTCCTTTCTAGCAAGTATTCAAGAGCACAAAGGAAATATTGTTCATATACGGGGCAAATAGAAGATAGGCAAAGAAATCTATATGGAGATGAAATACAAATAAGAGAATGAGGTGCCCTGGAAGACTGGCCATGTGGGAATAAAGACCATGATGGCAACATGCATATAGATTCTGAGGATTTGAGGGCAGTAGTCTGAATCACATTGTGGATCAGAAGAGACCTTTTCTCAAACTCTTTCTCTCTGCATTCCCTGATGTGGTAGCGTTATTTATCTTGAAGGTGGCCCAAGTACATACTTGCTTTTTCGAGCCTTTAAGTTACTTGAATTGGTCCTTAAAACATAATTTTAGAGAGTCCACAAATTAGAAGGGTAGTCGTATTTCTTTACTCTTGCTTTTCTCAGCTGTTTGTATGTGTGAAAGTGTGGGGTGCATGCGCACATGCATAAAAATATGTGTGTGAGAGACCTGATGCAGATATTCATGGGTGATTCTTTTGCAGTTAGCTTTAAGGGCAGCTCCATCCTATGAAGATTTTGTGGCCGCATTAACCATAAAGGAAGGTGACCACCAGAAAGAAGCTTTCAGTATTGGGATGCAGAGGGACCTCAGCCTTTACCTCCCTGCCATGGAGAAGCAGCTGGCCATACTGGACACTTTATATGAGGTCCACGGGCTGGAGTCTGATGAGGTGGTATGATGGCTGCTGGGCAGCACCTCCTAACTTCAGGGAATAAAGTGCTCAAGTGTTGTGTTGCCCTACTTAATTTCCAGCAACAGCCTCAGCCCTCTCTAACCCCTTCACTTCGGGGGATGGACAGGAGGAGGCAAAACCCAGTGCTTTTATATATAATTTTTAAAATGCATATGTGTTTTGTGTATTTAAAGATCAAGGTGCTATATATTTCAGTTCAGCAGGCCTACTGGAAGCCAAATGGTCAGGTGTTATAGACTTGAACAGCAAGTTATAAGAGCAGATTTAACAAATGAATTTGCTGTACTGTGTATTGTTTTTAGGTTTTAGTTTTAATGAACCCAAACCCAAGCTGAAAATCAGGTTTTGTATTAAGTACCATAATTCATAGCCACTGTTTCAGCCAACTTAGAATTAGACTAAACACTTGGAGGTAGTATAAGCTGCTTTGTTGAAGCTGTGTGGAGTTTGCTATTCCTAGATGCTCTTCAGTGGACCCTCTTCACTGTAACTGTCAGTGATAAGGGCCTGCAAAGTAAAAATGTTTAGAGCATTCACATGACCATGAAATTTTGGGAGGTGAAGAAGACATGGACAGGAGTCCCATCCTTGTTGAGAGGCATGAGACTGCTGCTCTGAGGTTAATGGTGTGCCCTAACCCCAAGCTGGAGGGGAGAATTTGAGAGAGGCGAGACAGCTCGTTTGAAATGACACCTCGCAACTACCTACCATGTACCAACATGTTCTCCATGCATTATCTCAATGGGACATCACAAGGAATGATACTCAAAGGGATTATTACCCCACTTCAAAAGCAAGGTTTAGAAATTGAGGGATCTGTTCACAGTCACATAGTTTATAAGTAGAAGAGCCAGGTAATTTCCACGTGTGACCTGGACTGCGTCTGTATCAAAGTCATATGGAGTGCTCATTCAAACAGCAGATTCCCAGGCCTTATTTTGACCTAAAGAACCAGAATCTAGGTGGTGGGCTATAGGAATCTGCATTTCAGTAAACTTTATACATGGTTCTTCTGCACACAGTATTGAAGAGCAACTAGATTAAATTCTAGTTTATAGAATTCCCAGTTTCCTTCAACTAAATGATACATCCTTTTTTTCAAAGAGGAGGAGGCCGCCATTTAAATAAAGTAGCTAAATGGAGAGTGCGAAGTGGAGCAACTTTACTCAGCAATATTCTAAATTGAGCCAGCACTGACACCCAGCCAGTAGGCCTTGGCATTGCATTCAGGGGCCGTGGCTCTGAACCGATCAGTCTTGGTTTAATCACCAAAAGTGCACAGCAGGCAAAATGCAGCTGTTTTATCAATCTCAAAAGCTTTGGGACAGTGTCATAGTTCAAAGATGAGACTTAAGTATTTCATAAAACAATGTTGCATGGGCGTTCTTCTGCACAGTGTGATGCCCCAACCCTGGCCATGGTCTCAGTAGACCATGCTGCTTCCAGGGTGCATAGGAGAGAAGCCATGGGTACCTTCCCTGTTAGAGGCGACTTCCTTCTAGTAGCAGGAAGGTAAGTTGCAGCATAAGGTAGTTACCCAGGGTAGCAGGTCCTTTGAGAGGCTTGGTTGAGTCAAGTATCATCTCTAGATGATGCTGTTCCTTCTGCGGATCTCTAGAATGGAGAGAATTCTCTCTTGAATCAAGAAGTTTATGTAGGGAGGGGTATTGGTTTTGCCTTTTGTCTGTCTTTAAACAAATGAACATTTATTTAGCTCAAATTAATTGGGCATTTTGCCCACATAAAGACTTCTGGAAAATACTTAAACTCCAAAAATCAACATCACATGTTTTAACGCTAGGGAGAAGGGGGGTATTAAAATGATGTTCATTATTTATTTCATATTTTGCCAAGGTGTGTGTGTATTTTTTCCCTACCACTCTCATGAGCAGTGAGTATGGATCTCCTTTTCTGATTGGTATGAATATGATGGCAGGACTCAGGGATAGTCCCTGCCCTCAACATAGCCTCCTAAAAGGGAAAAAGAAAAAGCAGCCAATTTTTGCTTTATTTTGAATGAGGATGTTTTAGGCATTGTGTCCATAGAAGGGATGCTACCAGGTGGTTGTTAGACTTGTGCAACGTGATCATTCTAAACAGCTGCTGGTGCTCCCTGTCACCTCAGGTGAACTCTGTGGTCTCTTGGAGAGGTAGCACTCTTAAAATACCTCAGGTTTGCCACTGAGGCTCCGAATACACTCAAAAGGAAAGCTGCTCAGCATGCCCATTTTGCTTTTGTGTAGGTAGTGCCTAGGTGTGCACGACTCAATTTGCTGGGAACGAGGGGTTTCATATTCTCTGGGATCATTGAGAACCCAGATCAGACAGAAAAGCTTGAGTAAGTTACATTTTCCAGTTACCCTTTTTCACATCTGTAGAAAGAGGGTGATATTTTTTTAATAGGTGTTTTCCCCACTGGAGCATATTAAGTTTGCCTAAGATACATAAAAGTTTGCTTAAGGAACTGAGGATCTTTAAATAAAAATATGTAGAAATTGAACCTAATACTAAACAATAAATTCAGCTTAACCTGAACCTTAGCATAGTCAGAACTTCACAGTATGTGCTTCTCTGTTTTAGTTAAAGTCATAATTTGTGCTGATGTGTAGTCACTTTCCAAGCTGGGACACCTAAGTTTGCTTTCAACATTACTGTGAGAGGAGATGAGAAAACTAGTATTTTGTTGGCAGAATAATCACCCTGCTCTCACTGCTCAAAGCATTTTTAGGATTATTTTTCTAGCATAACCTTTAGAGAGAACTGGAAGAAAAAGGAAATTGGTCTACTCGGTATTATTAGACATGAATAAATAACATTAGGCTAACCCCTTACGAGACATCTCCACACACAGAATTTCATCATGCCTGCACTTCTCCCCACAGTAGAAGCCAGTATTTATGTAGGGATCAGGGTATATTTGTTGAATTAAGCAAAATATTTTCAATGATGGCAAGTCTCTTGACTTTTGAAAGCAAGTCAGATTCCTTATAGTTAATGCTGGTGAAAAATGTTAAATTGGAGAGATTCCTTTTGGGAGTGAAACCAAATTATAACTAAGAGGAGGAGATGATTTTCTCACTGGCTCTTGATGTAGCTCTGAAGGGAGTTCCAGAAGAGAAGCTCTCACAGAATGTTGAGCCTGTGGGCCCAAGACCTTGACTTTGAAGGGTAGTACTCATTAGGATCTATAAGTAGTGGCTTGAGGCACCTTCTCATCATTATTTGCATGTCATTTTGATTATTAAACGTCCCCCAATGTCATATTCCATGATGAGGAATTTCAGAACTCTGTAGTCCAGCCTTGTTGGTTTCCTCTCTTCTTTGCTACAAAAATTGCCAGTGGTATCGCCATCAGCACACCAGATCTACCCCTGCTTTTGTTTGTTCTGCCCCATTTCTCAGGAGCAGCTTCTAGCATGTATGTAGAGCATCCGGCACCAACCTAGTCCAGGGCGAGGTGCTCAGTCAGTGGGAATTTGGTTCCCTCCTCCCCAGATTGCAAGAGCTTCTTAAGAAGGAGCCCATATTCCCATTTGTAGGTGAAAGCAGGTGAATGACACGACATGGGGCACCTAAGAAAGATGATCTATTAGGGGAGTGCAGCTGGAAAAATCTGCACTCTTCTCCTTTTGATTTTTGCTTTCCATATATATTAACAAAAAGTTGATACTTTAAACTTTATATTTTCAGAAAAGTGTTTTCAATTAGAAATATGTGATAGGGACCAAATAAGTAAAGTACATTTTTCCTCACTAAATTGGAAGTGAGGGAAAGAGCTGAAGTAAGAGATTTGTTTTTTTTTTTTTAAGAAAACTTAGTCTGATTGTGAAAATTAAACATATGGAGAAATATCAGATAAGGCAATAGAGTCAGAGGGTAATAAGCAATAGACGATGATGTGAGATACTTGGGGAACTTTCTGGAGGAAATTTTCAAGTTTTTTTTTTTTCCTACTAAACTACCATGTCCTACAAGAACTTGGTGATATAATGGTGCATTTCTTAATGATTGATTAAAATCAGTTGTTCTGACTTTAGTCACAGGTTTTACAACTATTCAGCTCTCCCATCCTCATGTTTCATTTCTTTTTTTAAGATAATCTATCAACCTTTTTTAAATTTTAAAATTTTTAGATGTAGAATTTATAAGTAAAATATATTTTCAACCATTGTTCTGTCAGCTGAGCTAATGTGCTTGGTCTTAGAGGGCCTGACTTCAGATGGTCTTTGTGATCTTGTAAGGTCTCTACACAAGCTTCATGATGTATGGTACATTTGTGTTCCTATGAATTGTATGTAGGATGTTTTCATCAGAAATATGTTCTACTTCTGTATGTCCCTTTGTAATCTGCAGTTGCTTACTCAGGGGTTTCATAGTAATTTCATAAAAACAATTCACTAGCTGTCTAATGGTATTTTAAGACCGTTTATCTGTATTACAAGGTCATTAGGAGTGATTTCAACAATTCCATAGATGTACTGATTACTAGACCTTCCCTGTAAATGTTCCCAATTCCCATCCTGTCTCAGACAGTCAATAGTCCTGTATACAGTGACCGTTTGCATGATTTCTCATTGCACTGCTGCATTCAGGCACTCCAGGGCATGATTAAACAGTCATTAACAGTGCCTCTCTGGTACAGTTGATGCATGCATTGATCTTTCTCCTCTGCTGTTTTTATATAGCCTTTAATTAAAAGGAAAAAAACATACCACTACTCTGTAATGCAAAAGGCTTTAAAATTTTTTGTTTCCCACATTAATCACTCCTGTTCCAGAGTGAAGAAATGTTTTCCGCTAATCTATGTGAGAATGTAAGAATAATATCCTGCTTGTTCTCAATATTTCATATATTTTAAAGTGTGGTCAGTATTTCCTCCCTGTACCTTAGAAGCAGAAACCACCCTGGGATGGCTGATACCCCTAACAAAATTGATCTTACCACACAGACTCCCTGTGTATGTGTGTCTATTTATAGGTGTATGTGGAGTCAGTGTTGATAGGAAGGATGCTGTAGAAGTACTTCTGTTGTTTCCCAGAAGGCTATGAGCCAGTTCCGTGGCATGTTTAATGTATGATTCCCATGTATCATGCGAATTTCACTAGAATGTCATTAAACAGCCCAACTACCTCATGTGAAATTGGCTGTGGACAATCTGTGTCATATGAGAAATGTGTTCAGATCAATTTAATCTGGCTAATAGATTTAACAAATTAATGTCTACATAAAGAAGAAATATGATAGACCAGATGCCAAAGGCTAAAATGTACATAGATTTCCTTGGATTAATTTTTTTAGTCACTGTTTAATTCCACTCCTAGTATTCTTATGAATGTGGTTTCATAGATTTATGCACTTTGAATATCTGTCTCGTGCAGTCTTAACGTTACTTGTTCTTGTCCCTCAGCATTTTGAATGAACATCATAATCAGAGTAGGAAGCAAGTTAAACTCAAAAGTGTCAAGTGGCTTGTTAACTTCTTAATTTAATGGACCTTTACTTAGAATAGAGTATGTTGGAACCTTTTAGGACCAACTGATGAATGACAGTTTCATGTTGAGGTTTGTATTGTTTCTCTGTCCAAGTCCTTAGTCTATATCTTGTGGGGAAGGGGGGCAGGGGAGGGTTTTAATTTTTTTGCAAAAATGTTTAAAAATACCTGTCAGATTTTATATTCGTTAGTTATAATAAACTTATTTTTAAAGTATTTTATCAAGTTCTTAAAGATTTTTGTGTGGTTTTCTGCCTAATTGAATATGTAAGTAAGAAGTATAATTTATGGAACACACGTGACTTGCTGGGTATCAATCCAATTCCTTTAAAAATACAAGCACATTTCATCCTCCTAATAAGTCCATAAGGCAGATACTGTTGTTATTCTCAGGTTACAGACGGGAAAACTGAGGCAAATGGGGAAGCCCCTTGCCTAAGATCCCACAGCTAGGAGGAAGAGAGCCAGGCTACAAATCCAGGCAGCCAGACTCCAAAATCTTTTTTTTTTTTTTTTTTTTTTTTTTTTTTTTTTTGAGACAGTCTTGCTCTGTCACCTAGTCTGGAGTGCAGTGGCACCATATCAACTCATTGCAACCTCCACTTCCTGGGTTCAAGGGATTCTCATGCCTCAGCCTCATGAGTAGCTGGGATTACAGGTGTGCACTACCATGTCTGGCTTGTAATTTTAGTAGAGATGGGGTTTCACCATGTTGCCCATGCTCGTCTTGAGCCTCTGGCCTCAAGTGATCCACCTGCCTTGGTCTCTCAAAGTGAGATTACAACTTGAGCCACCGTGCCCAGCCCCAATTTCTTAAAACCTAAACAAAAAGTCATTTTGAAGCATCAGACCGCCTCTGGAATGGCCTTGCCTTCTGGGTGTTTTAAGCATTCAAGAAAGACTGGCTCCTTTCAGAGGTAGCTCTGTTCTTTCACTTGGTTTAATTCTGTTTTCAGAGACACTAGATGTACAACAATTAGTAGATTAATTTGCTAAGCATAATGTTTCAGTGGCTGTGTGTTTAATTAGATGACATCAGTAAGAGACACTTTGTTGCCTAAATCACTTGATGCCAAAGTAGTGTTGAACCTGTCAGGTTTTCCTTCCCATAGACTTGTTTGTGGATATTAGGATACCTGCAGATATGCATGACTGGCATTAGAGAGCTTTCCTGTCTACCTCCTTCTCAGGGAATCTTCCCATTCTTGCCCACTTGAGCCCTCTCCAGCCACCTCTTTAAACACAACAGCAGAGTCCATTAGAATTGAGAATGGGAGGGAGTGAAAGAAGAGAGAAACAGAAGTGTTGAGTGGTAGGTGCTTGAGCAAAAGGGTCAAGTAGAGTCGGCGCTGGGGTGGCCATGTTGGGCCATGTGCAAGAGAAGGAAGAAGAAAAAGCTGGTAGAGAGAAAGAATGGCATAGGCACACTGAGAGGCACTGATGCAGAATCATGTCATAGCCAAGGACACCAGCAAAGTTTCCTTGAAGGCTGGTTTCCCTTTCCTAGTGCCAGCTCTCTGGAGGCCCTTGTTCCTTGCCCTAAAGTTCCTCTTCTTGAGAAACCTGTACCTTTATAATATGCTACCTTGACCTTTTTACTTGTACTAATTTTAATGGGCTGCTATCCCATCACTATGACAAGCTCATCTGTCATTCCACACTGAATATAGGCAAATCTTAAAGCAAACCCAAATGAAATGTTGAGGAATCACCATGACCATCCCTCTTGCTGTGTAAGAATGGAAGTGCCTTTCAGGCCTGAAGTCAGTCTGTATGGGCTTTGCTTATTCTAAGTTATGAGTAGTACCCCACTGAACCCAAGGATGTTTTTCATAATGGCTTATAAATCTGAAATATCCGCACCACTGGAGCAGGCTTTGTAAGGACTATCTACCTCTGGCCTCTGTGCCTACGTCGAGGAGTGTGCTCAGGTGGGAGCTATATGAAGGGAGTTCATTTCTGTTCTCAGCTGTACCCTCTGGGGTGCTTGTAGCCTCTGCTGTCTAGAGGATGAACAGAGCTGGTTTTAGAACATGTTTGGATGTCTGTCCCAACTTCCAGTGGATAGAGGAGTACGGTTGCCTTGTGGTCATGAGGGTCCAGCTGAGGAAAAGGTAGTGGGGCTGTGCATGCCTCTTGCTGTTAACTCCAGAATCTGCAAGTACTGGTGCATTTTCTGTTCTACCATCACTCTATGATAACCTAGACAAACCTGGAATATCTGTGCTCATCTGTGCTATAGTAGAGAAACCAAAAGAGCAAGAAGGAATAGAATGACCCTAGAGTTGATATTTTTATTTGTTCTTACACTCATGTGGGTAGGTTAGAAGAAATGCTCTTTTATGAAAGGAACACGTGTCCTATGTGTGTGTCCACATGCATTCACACACATCCTGCTACTGCTGTTAGCATTCTCCTTCTCTCCAGAGGTACGAAATGGAGATAACCACCTTTGGAGCACTGTGGTTCAGGCTGATGGAGAATTGATGAACGATGATGTTCTGACATCAGGACTGAGGACACAGATCATGTTTGGGATGGTTTGCCATATGAATGCATCATCCTCAGAGAACAAAGTTGTCACATCTTTGCTGACACTTGTGCATGGCCAGTTTTAGGACCTTTTACTTTGGCTTGAGAGTCCAGCTTATTGGAAAGGTTTTTTAGATATTGTGAAGTCAAATCCTGCTTCAGAGTCTTTTATGAGCTCACCTTAGACAGTGAATTCCCTCATCCTCCCTTTCCCCTGATCATTGTGCTTCAGTGACCAATCCTCTTCCCCAGAGTTCTGTGGATCACTGGGACAAATGACAGGATTCTCCACTTTGTCCTGATTTAGACCTGGCTCTCTGCTCTCCTCCCTACAGATAACCCTTCAATTATACTTCAGGCGCTGGTCATGCACCTGGGCGGTGGTCTCAGAACGCCAATCTAGACCCACCTGCCTCCTGATCATCCCTTAGATACCCTACCTTTACCTGAATCCCCAAAGCCAGACTTGGTTGCACCTAAAGCTTTTCCATCCAAGTCAGTTGAGTCATCATTATTCTAGTCTCTCGGAAGAAAGCCACACACTCTGAACTCTTTTCTCACTTCCTCGCTATACCTGCTGTGTCAGCAAGGCCTGCCTCAGCCTCCATACTCCACTGCTGTGCACAGCTACAGCTTGATCTCTGGATTCTCTGCTCTTCAACCTGCCATGGCCTTCCAAACCTGAAAATGCGCCCTATGACTCTATGCCAGGCTTTAAGTCCCTTCACAAACTTGATAGCCCTTTTCTCTTTCTTATTCCTGGAAGCCCCTCAAAGTCCTCCCAGACTCAAGTCAGTCTCCACTATGGATTTTACCTCCAAACATCCCCTGCATTTCTAAATGATACTTTCTGAATTAGAACTTAGGGATGGGAAGTGTGACCTCAAGGTAACTGGACTAATTCATTGATGTTATATTCTGGTTATTGGTGTAACCACCTCTCTCATTAAATCATGAACTTTACCTTCAAGTCAATGTGCCCCGCACCTGAGAGAGCCTTCTCGTCCGTGGTAGAAATCCTAAACTGTCTTAGGAGTTGGGCGTCACTGCCAGTATGCTTTGTGATTCTTTCAGATGTGTTAGCCAGCTAGATAAAAATATTTTTGAAGCAAAACTACATACTTCTATTCCCTCCTGCTTCCTTGGCTGTTCAAGAAATACTGTGAATGACTGACCATTCAGAGTATAACTTACGTGTTTTTTTATATTTTGTCTTTGTTAATACACATGCAAAATATTTGTATTTTATAGGTTCTTACATGTATCAAATTATGGACTATAAGAATGCAAAGTTCAGCTCATGGTTCTTACCCTGTTTGTGCAATAGAGTCACTGGAAGGACTCAAAAAACAAGCAAATAAGAGGAAAAAAAAACATTTATATCTGGGAATTTCCCAGACCACTTAAATCAGGCGTAGAAATGTGGCCTGTCACTGATATTACAATCTCCCCAGTGATTCTAATGTGCAGCCCAGACTGAGAACCTCCAGAGCTGCTGGTTTAGTCCTTTAAAATTATACTGTGGGGTCTTTTAGGATAAATATGGTCAGATCACAGACCCTTCATCCCCTAAAGCTGAACATAAAAAACCAGAATAAATAAAAAATTCAAAAAGTAAAACTCAGTTAAAAAAATTCACTAGTAATCAGGCAATGGAAGGAGCCCAACCTTGTCCTTGTGCCTTAAACTTCAAAAGATAATAGTCAAACAAAAAGACCAGATTTTTCTGGTAAGAAACAATAGTTCCTGATCCCCCCCACTACTGGGGAATTTGCAAGATGCAGAACTCTTATAGAAATTTCAGGTTTTGGAAAGTTAATTGGTGTGTAGGGGCAGGATGAGTATCTTTATCTCTTCCTTCTTTTGAGTGGGGATGTTGCAGGGTGGGGTGGGGGTGGCTAGTGGGAGGGAGTTTGCTGGGGAGAGATGGGTAAAACAGAGGATGAATTAGGGACTGGAACTAGCTCATCCCTGAATTAGGAGAAAAACCCACATTCCAAAGGCTGTGTCCCCTGTACATAGAGTAGATATGTCTCCTCTCCATTCAGAATTCACTCTGGTTCAAGACTTAATGCAAGTATTGGAAGACAGAGCAGAGTCCAGTCCTCTAGTAAAAGCCTCTATACACAGCTCCTTCCTTCTCCATACAGACATAAAGACGTGAACAGGCTGGGATCATATTTGGATGGTACACATTGATGTGGCTGTGCTGGTTATTAAAATATCAAAACACTTCCACACCATGACAGAAAGAATCACTTATCCAAGTGTCTCATGCTGTTCTGGCCACCCCAGCCCCTCTCACAAGAAGCCCCCTACTCCAGATCACCCCACAGACTAGCAACTACAGGAGTAACGTGGCCCAGAGCTAGGACCAACCTCTGTTCTGTCTACTCAATGTCTGTGTCATGTTGGTGGTTAGATATTTTCAATGCCATCCATTGGTAAAGTATATAGAACACAAGCCTGCAGGGTAAGAGAAATAGATGCCAAATAAGATGAGAAATATGTCAAGGAGAATACACCAACACTGTATGAAAACAAATGCATGGTCTGAACAGAGCTGCCCACCTTAAACATGAGCAAATGTAAGTAAGATGGCCTGGCAACTATGTGAGTGTGCTACAGCCAGGAAGCAGGCGGGGTGGAGTGGGAAACAGATGAAACCAACATGGAAAAAAAAGCC